CGGGACTCGGACTCGATCGAATTGACGTTCGACGATTTCGATGAAACTTTCGTGGAAAGTGACTCTTCGCGTGTTTCCGTATTTTTTTGTCTATCTGATATTTTCCGTGTCGGACAGATAGAAACAATTTATTAGATCAAGATTGTGAACATATTTTAAGGGTGGCAGGCGATCGGAGACGATCACGTGAATTTAAACATGTATCCGATGGATTCTGTTTTTTGTCGGACGATTCCGAATTTTTAGATATCTCTTTTATTCCGAGCACGGTAGTCGAAATATCATGCACACTGCTATTTCTCACCCCCGTTCGCAACTTCGCGGTCCATTTTCACCCTCGCGGTACAAGAGTTGAATTCAATGAAAAATATATATATATACGGGAACGATTTTTGCTGGAACTGTTTCCCGGAGTTCCATCGAAATCCGTGAATCCTATCTCGGTGTACCCTTCCAGCGGAAAAAGAAGGAAGCGGTGGTGCCCCGAAAAGAGGCAAAAAAAAAGAAGATACTGGAAACTCAGTGAAACGACGCACGGTTCGTTAAAGGAGGAGAAACTTGGCGCGTTACGTTTCCGCGGGTTGATCAAGGGAACTGGTCGCAGCGCTACCGAAAATCCGTGGGTCGGTCGAACGTAACCGGGGAACTCGTTCCTTCCAGTCGAACGCTCGCGACAACTGTATCGCCTTTACAAACTTCCCGACGTTGCGCGTTTGGTATCGAAAACTCGGCGAAACGGGCAGGGAGAAGTGGAGGAGGATGAAAAAAAAGGAGAAGGACTGGTTGAAACCGGCGCGCAGCGGTCCAGTCGCTCGAAAATGTGGCCAAAATGTATATCTTCGTTAGCAATATATGTAATTCGTTATTCATTACAAAATACGTTTCATGGGTGTTTTGACTAGGAGACTCTGATTTTATAGAGAGCATCCCGAAAAATAGGAACTTCGCGGTTTCTATGATTTAGAATACAATTTCAAGCAAATAATATTACATAGATTTCTCAATAATTAGTCATTGTTAATTAAAGTTGTGGGTATATCAAGATAACGTATAGTATGTATGCAAGTCGCATGAAATTTCAATTGGAATTTGTTAAAGGACGTCTAAACGTTGTAATTTAATTTAACTAGCATCTTCAGAATTCTTATTTTGCAAGTATTTAAATTATCAAAGCGTGTTGGCGGAAGATTTCCAATGAAATTTGTATGTTTGTAGAGATACAAGTGAGACTTCGAATCTTAGGAGACGTATCGTTCTAATTTTTATAAAACTGGAAATAAGTCACTCCGATGGTAGTTCTAGTGTTAAATTCTATCAACGTCGAACTGGAATGTCTTCGGAAAGATTGCTGCTAAAACTTAACCCTTTGCACTCGGAAGTTTTTCACTAGAAATATTTTAACATTTTCTGACGAGATGAAGACATTGAGGAACAAAGTAATTTTATTTCAATATTTTTTAAATTGACGAGTTACACGAGGTATAATATTAAATATCAAATTTCAGAGTTTCACTGTATGAAATCAGGTGGTGAGAGTCACTTTTCGAGTGCAAAGGGTTAAAAAATAACATGGCATCATACGCACATACATAGATAGATACATAGGATACTTTTCCTATTTTGGTCACGTTTCCAAGCAAATGGACCGCTGCATGGCGTTCCTTGAAAAGGAAAATTCCTGGACGAAGGATATTTACCCGATGATGTCCACGTTCTCCGAATCACTGTTGCCTGCCGTTCAGCCAGGCTGCGACCGGCGATTGGACGGATATTGGTAGCGACGGGACTAATCCAATGACACGTTCATTAATTCCGTACGTATCAATTTTCCGCGCGCATCCGCGGGACGCCGTTAAACAGGCACACGCACGGCTGTGCTTCCAGTTCTTTATTACCGTCCCCACTGTTCCCGCATGCTGGCGGTGTCGATGTAGGGGGTGGCTCGACGGAATCGTTATTAATTATGGAATCGCGCGGTTGGAAGTGAAGACCGACGTATACGGGCCTCGTTAACCAGTTAACTGTATCTGACGAGTACACGTGTCGTCTTGAAGTAGAAAATAATACTAATTTCCTCAGTAATTCGTTATTTCGTTCTTGGAATAAACAGTTCTTTTTCAGTTCGTTTTAGTATTTTATTTTAGTATACGTCATTAAATTCTTGTCGTCTTGAAGTCGAAAATAATACTAATTTCCTTAGCAATTCGTTATTTCGTTCTTGGAATAAACAGTTCTCTTTCAGTTCGCTTTAGTATTTTATTTTAGTATACGTCATTAAATTCTTGTCGCCTTGAAGCCGAAAATAATACTAATTTCCTTAGCAATTCGTTATTTCGTTCTTGGAACAAACATTTCTTTTTCAGTTCGCTTTAGTATTTTATTTTAGTATACGTCATTAAACGGTTATTCGTTGAGCTTCTTGATATTGGTTGATCGATAAGAACTTCGTCATACGTCTCTTTTCCATTCATTATTCCTTCTCGACTCAATAGAGTTGACTCAACTATTCTCCTCTTCCGACTTCAACGTTCTCCCGATCCGCGAATGCAGTTAATATCATCAGGTTTCCCTTCCGAGTAAATTATATCTTGTTTCTCTCCCGAATAAAGCTGACTTTGCTACATTTTTCCTCCGTATTTATTACTTCCGCGCGCGAGTGAATCTACGAATAAACTGCGCTTATTTCGACGGGAAGTGTTTAATGGAACAAATGAGCAGGCTGAACGCGGCGATTGTTTATACGCGGATTAAAAATATGAAACGCTGTCGCGTGCGCAGCAGACCGGCAACGGGTCAAAAAAGAGGCTGGACTATATTTCACGCGGAATGTTAATAAACCGGCAAACGTACCGGTTCGTCCGTTAAGTATAAAGCAATGCTGCAAATGTTACAGAGAACCAAGTGTCACGGATTATTAAAGCTCGTTGATTCCCTGAAAAACACGGACGACGATTTTACGGGGCGTTTGCGAGCGGAGATGGATCCGGTTTTCTACAACGAATTCAAATTTTGCGTTTCGGATACCTTTAATCTGCCCGCGGACCGGTTCCCCGAAAAACAGCCAACACTTGCCAACTGCGCGCAGCGGCGCAGAAGTGAGCAGTCTCTCGAAACCGTGGTCGCTATCGATCATCCCGGTAACACAGCGACAAACGAAATAGACCCGTCAAGGCTGCTCACCTCTCGATCGACGCGATTTCAATCTTTCCCGACCATCCACCGCTGCCGAGCCACCCCGTTCCCTTCGCCCCACGAACTTGCCGCGTGCGTATGTATATGTATATACATATATATGTATACGAAAATGAAACTGCTCGTGATTGAAAGTATCAAAACAGCCGGTGGAGTCCCATCGTTGGGAATTGGTAACTCCCCGGGGGCGATGGAGAGGACGTTACCCGCGGGGAGACATCCCACCGGGTTGAGAGACAGATATACGACGGCTGTCTCCAAAGTATCCAACTTTTGTTTGCATCCTCGCTTCTGAGTGGCCTGTCGCGGGTAACGTGTGTTCACGTCGGAGACGGGACCTTAATAAATGGACAGTTCATGTAGCACTGCGTTCCTTTGTTCGATAAGGATACGCGATGTAACCGTTTGAGTGCCGAGGACTTGTGATGTGCCAAAATTGAGAGCGCGGAGGCGCTTCTGTTTATCGGTATCAATTATAATTTTCTTACTGTGTTCTTCAAGAAATAAGTCAAAGTAAATTTATTTGAATAAATATTTTCTGATATTTTCGTGTAATAATACGATATTTGTGATCTCATTAGATAAGTACTCTTATTAATTCTTTTGCATACACACCCAATCACTTCATTTTTGGTAAATATCTACAAAAACTTGTTTAGCATCCAAACGATTGAGCACTGAATTTGGCGTTTATAGCAATGCATCTTCGGAAATTGTTTAGAAATCTCTAGTGTAACGTGGCATTTTAGAACTTCGCCTCTGAAGTTGTGAAAGACTTCCGTTGCTTCTCGATGTTCTCCAAAATGAAGATTCGCGGATGTTGAAATGAAACGAGGCGATGCAATTGTCTGCTATTCCCAACGTAACGTTAACACGTCGAATGCCATGGGGCACCGGTGACCCCCAACCAAATCGAATGATTATAGTTCATTCAGTTAAACGATGATTATCTAGAAACATTTCTACATTACAAATAATGATAGCTAATGCGGTGACGTTCAGCTCGAGGACTAAGCAATAGTAATGCAATGCAATAGAATGATTTAATATTAACCCTTTGCGGACGAAACTTCTTTGAAATGTAGAAAACCGTCAGCAGATGAAGCTAAATTATATATTGGTTGCTTAGATAATTGGGAAAGGGAAACTACGTACTGATCTCCTGCTGTTTTAGTAATTAAATCGTTTGTTTGCGACTTAGTGTTGCAAACATGAACATCTGATCTCGCCAGAATGTCGACGTTTGTCGGCAAAGGGTTAACCCTAATTGTACCACGTGTTTTTATAACGAATCACACCACGATGACTCTCAGTCACTTATCAGAATAAAACGAACGATTAAAATATTATTGTTTTTGCTTATTGTCCAAATTTTAAAAGCCCAAGAAACTTTAGCAAATGCAATAGGAAATAAAAAATTTAAGTAAAAACTTCAAATATGACTCAAAGTCACATCGTGGCCCGATTAAACTTAAATTCTTCCCGTTTTGTGTATTTCGCTTGATAAAATCGTGCGACATTCGACGTGTTAAAGAACACCGTTCCCAAAGGAATAACGATTAAAAGCTCTTCGAACGAGCATCCCGGAAAGCGAGAGGATCGCGAAGGGAAAGCTCCAGTCTCCAGAGGGCAATATTTCGAGGCCGAAATCATCGACGGTAACCAAGAACGATGCTTCCTGCCCCTACAAGATCGGATACTTTCCGGACAGCCGTTGTGTGCGCCGGGAAAATAAGGGATGATCGATGGGTCCGGCCACACCGGGCTCGATCCCGACGCGAGCATGTGGAGGAACTGGTCCGAACGAAATTGCCGCGGCCTGGACCGCGCGCGATACAGGCATTACGGGACCCTTAAGAGAGCGTTTAATGGACTCGTCGATACCTGGTTATCGCTGACGTTGACGCAAGTGTAGCACGTTAGACCTGGAACACAACACAGATGGGGCGTTCGAGTGAGTAATAGCGTTGCGGGGACGGTTAGGGGTTGGCGAATACGATAGGGGCTGGTGGGAGAGGGTGGGAAGGGTAGCTCGAGCGCGAGACAAAGGACGGAGAGAGGCAACAATTAAACACGCTTAGGCGTTCCACCGGCGTTCCAAACCCCTTTCCTCCATGGCTGCCTTCACTGCCGCGACAGTTCGATAGAATTCCGCGCTCGGTAGGTACACTTAACGCTGCCTGGATGAGGGACGGTTGGCAATGGATTGTCCCCGTCGAATGGCAGGCTCGTCCTAACGGGCAACGGCGGATCACGCGACGCGACGCGATGCAACGCCACAAAGCGTTCTGCCTCGGAACGCGCCGTTTAACCGGGTCGCCGCGCGAGCCAAATTGCCAGCCCATCTCCGAGGATGTAGTAATTAATACTTTCCACGGTGGAAATTGAAGTTCAGACCTCGGTTAACCGAGCTGCTATTATATCTGGATCGTCCAGAGTTTTCGTTCGCTTGGGATAATATGGATCCTCCGATTTTCTCTTGGAATTTTTTAAATATGCTTTGGAGAATTTCTTAACACATTGCATACCGGATAATTTTCAGGAAACTGAATTGTGCGATTTTCACTGAGGTCAACTTGTATCACTATACATAGAAAAACTTAGATATATTGCTACGTAATATATTTTAAATAGATCATCAATTCGAATGAAATTTTATATTTTCCTCGATGGTAATTAGCGAAGTTGCATAGTTAAGTGTCTTTATATAAAAACGAGATTTCTCGTTATCGGTACGCAATGTGTTAAAAATCTTCAATTCAACACACCTAGAAATCGTAGTCGAAAGAATTTCTATAAAGATTCAAAGAAATTTGGTTTTCTACTATAAACGATCGTTCGAGAAACTGGAATAAAAAGTTCGAGCTAAACCTTAGTTCATATATTTCTGTTAACAAATCTACGACAGTTGTCTTCGAATGTTTCAGTTCGCAGTCGAGTCAGCCATCAATTGGTGTCTCGCGAAAAGGGGTTCCGAAGATTTCTCGTTACCATCGTTTCACAAATGTGTTAAGTTTGGCATTTATATTGTGGTTTATATTTTTATATTTTTTACTGACGGTTAGACGATGAAATCGGATAACCGAGTTTCTTGTTTGTTCGTGTACGCCGTCTACCTACGCGAGTCTACTTTGGTTGCACTACGTCACACTCAGGTGTCTGCGCCTTTATACGCGACTGTTATCGTCAAGGTGAACGGAACAGACGGGAGAGGGTGGGTGCATGGCAGGCTGACCGCGGGGGTAGGTCTTTTATTTGGGAGTTGAACTTCAAAGACGTCGACCGCCTTTGACACGCTTTGCGGGGCACCCCGTAGATGAGGCGGGCAGTTTTTTGGGGTAGGTTTCGTTAGAGTCGGTTGATGCTGGGGAATATTGTTTTGTTTGAAGGGGTCGCCGGTGATAGGGTAAATTAATCCCTTATGCGTGACGCGTGAAGGTTATCGTTTTATTACGAGAAATTTTAATGATCAAAATTAACGGAGCATTTCAATGTTATAATTATTTTTCACGTAACAATGCATTCGTGAAACTCGGAGAATTAACTTAAATTCCGGTTGCTATGAATTTCTGCATTCAATGATTGCCTTCGTCGGGCATTCTTTTTAATTAATCTCCGGGAGAAAATTAATAGAAGTAATTAATGAATAACAAATGTTGTCCACGGAAAACTGGGGCGAGCAATTCTGCACGTTGAACCGAATTAAAAAACGCGGGATTAAGCTCCCAGCGGCGTGCTTCGTTCCGTAGGAAATCGAAGTAGAAGATTCATGGGGTGGACGTGACGCGACTACGCATGGCTAATGCGTCTGACCGCCGTCGACTGTTTCTACTTTACATTAACTACCAACAGCACAACATTGTTACCCTTGTTACCTTGTTTCTCGCCGATCCTATCATCCGCTGACAACTATATCTCGTATCAAATTACCCAGGCCATCAACACGAAACCACTGTCAACATTTACGTGAGTCATTACCCGTAGAAACAACCGGCGTTAAGCACAAGCGCTACCCGGAAATTCTATATAATATTCAAACTCAAACGTACAATAAGTCTGTTCCCAAAGGACTACTAATGAGCGCCGCCTTCTGGCGTACTGCGCCGGCGAGGATCACATTTCCTAGACGACCTATTACAGATCACTGGCAAACTTACAGTAACTGGGTACTTTCGTGAGATACAGCCAGATCTCATTTAGATTGTCGAATACTATATACCCAATTCTTTCTGGTAGTGCATTCAATCTTGTACAGTGATCTAAAGCTATTAAACTAACTAAAACTACCGAGCAATTAAATTGACCTTTTGAAATTCCTCTGTAGCAACCTCAAGATTCCACCTATTGAGACTCATTTTAATTCATTTATAATTCATTTATAATTCAGTGTGCGTATTGCTTCAATCTCTTGAATAAATTCTCAGAAATATCTGTTATCCTTTTAAACAATTACAAAGAGAAATCAGGAATGGTCCGATTTTTGATACGACTAGTAGTTAGTGCTAAATCTTGAGCAGTGACTTAACTCTTCGTTTACTTGTACAAACACAGACATTCTTTTATTAGATATCAAAGCATTCATCACAATTCTTCTAAAAACAAGTGTCTCGTTTCCTCGCCCGCTATCAAAAGGATCACGTTCGGACGCGACGTCGGTGTCCCAAAAACGTTGGAATAATATCGAAACATCGAAAAACCATTCCTTTGTCCACGAGGTCCCTGAGCATTTTTCATCCCCAGTGTCCAGGATCATCCCCAGAATTCAAAGCCGAAAAGAGAATGGATAGGAGAGTTCCATCCAAGCAACCGCACACGTCAATTACACAGAATTAGCGGACAGCTCAACCGAAAGGGCGTCCCGATCGAAAGCGCGCGCGTCTGTTCGCCGGTGGAAAACGGGCGGGGCATAAAAACAAAAATTCAATGGCCGGAAGAGAGCGCATAAAAGCCCGGGGTCGTTCTGTTTCGACGAGCGGAAAGCGCTGGATTAACGTTGATCCTTTTTGCGAGCCGCGCGGTCCGCGTTTCCGCGCGCGGAATGGATCCGTCCGTTGTTGCTCGCGGTTTTCGGCTACTTATCGAAACGGCGGCGATATTTCACGGGAACACGTAACGTCCGGCGCGTGTATAGATCAAGGGGATGATTTGCGGTGGGCCGTTGCCACGGAAAGGTTCTCGAGTGGCCGCTGGGATCTGCGAGCCGTGAATCGCAAGGAAGCGGGATTAGTGTGGCTCAATTGCAGGATTCGAGTGGGCAGGAGGATAAGCTACTCCGAGTCAGCTGGAGCTAAATCATAGATCTCCTTTCTTTCCTGCTGCCTCCCTCCGCCTAGTTTCTTCTACGCGTGTATCTTTCCTCCCGGGGAATGGGCGAGGGGATCCTTTCTGCTCTTGGAAGCTGCAGGAACAGTTCTTTGAACATTTGCTTGACACGTGTGTTTTGAAGAGTGTGGAAATGTTAACCCTTTGCACTCGAGATGTGACTCTCAGTCACCCTTGATTCGATACAACAAAACTATCAAGTTGAATATGTAACACTAGAACTACTGTACCAGTCGAAATGACTGGTTTCGATTGTGTTGTTTCACAATTATTGATATCTTAAAAGCATTGAATATTCGAAATGATCTTGAAAATAAATAACTTTGACTTGAATACTATAATGAATACTATAATGAATACTATAATGAATGTAATTCACACAGTAAAACTATAGAATGTGATATTTAATGTTAAACTTTGTATAATGCCTCGATACGTGAAATATTGGAATAAAACAGCTTTGTTCCTTAATATACTTGTGTTTTCTCTTCGAATTAATTTTAAAGAATATCGTCTTCGCCTCATTAAAAAATAATAAATATTTCTATTGAGAAATTTCCGAGTGCAAAGGGTTAAAAATAATTAGAGATTGTCGTTGTTTTAGTTGATGTTCGTCGAGCTTGCTATGAGAACGACTAATGTGTATGATGTATTGAGAAACTGGATTTTCAAAATTGTGAGTATTAACAGTTTCGCTGCCACAGTAGGAGCGGAGCTTTGAAATTATTTGGGAAGTGTTATAATCCATTAGACGACTGACGTCGAATAGAAATATTCGGTAATCAACAATGAAACTACCGAGCAGTTAAATCGACTGTTTGGAATTTCTCTATAGGAGCTCGAAGAAATTCAGAAGTTTAATTAATTTAATTAATTTTCTCAGTTTGCGCATTGCTGCATGAATTTCTTCAATAATTTCTCAGAGAATCGTCTATTATCTTTTTAATCATTGTGAAAGGAAGATATTAGAAATGGGTCGTTTTGACCCACCTGGTAGTCTTAATGTCGATAATTATTCCTTTTTATCTTTGTTACGAAAGAATAAGTGACGCGTGAAACGTATCACTTATTTTCTGTGGCAACGTGTCAATTATTAACCCTTTGCACTCCAAAAGTGACTCTCAGTTATCACTTGATTTGATACAACAAAACTAAGTTGAATATTTACTATTTTAAATTAAACTTTGTATTGCAATGTGAAATATTTAAATAAAATAGCTTTGTCGCTTAACTTATCTGTGAATTATCCTTAAATTAGTTTTAAACAATGTCGTCTTTATCTCATCAATGTTCAAATATTTCTACTGAAAAACTTCCGAGTGCAAAAGGTTAATACGAAGCAAATAGCGTCCCGTCTGAATTGAAAAGGAAGGAATGACGTTGGATATGGAAGGTTCACCAGGAGTTCGACTCGATATTACAAGGGACGTTAACGACACCGATACCCACGGTAGATGTCCTCCTCGTCGCCGGTCACTCCTTTCAGACCGTCCTGCTGCTGTGTGTCCTCCTTCCCGTTCCCGTTTCCGGAGAGTACGTTTCTGCCGCAAGTTTCCGCAGCCAGGAGCAGCCCGACCATCACCCACGTGATCATTCCTTACATCTCTGGAATGACAGAAATGGGGCTGCGTGTTACGTAATTGACCGCTGAATCTCTTCCGCGGTCTCGATGACGATCGACCATCGGTTTAGTCGGCGAGCCGATACGCGCCGAGCGGTTATCGCCATCGGCGCACCGCGGATTTCATGTTCTCACAGACAGAAACTCAAAGAAACCAACAAATTGCACTATTCACTTTTCCGTCAATATTTCTCAAACATCAATCACATTCAAATGAAGTTGAAGCTTAACTACTTGCCTTATAATGACGTGGTGACGATTTTAAACAGAATTTATTAAGTATACATATTACTCGATTCTTTTGAATTTGAATTAAATACTATTCTGTCATTAATTATTATACTTTAGAGTAGACATGAACATGGAATATGTCTAGAATTTTTGTCTTTTCAGTAAATTATTAATGACACAGTAGGTGTATCGATCATAGTTGAGAAATAAATCATAAGACAATCATAGTAGTCGAAAATCAAGCGCCATCGCGCTTTTTTTGACTCAGCTCGGAAACTGAATGAAGATTTTCTATTTTCACATAAACGAATTCGAAATAGTGCGATCGTTCTATTGTTTCATTTCTAATCATGCAATAACAAAAATGGAAATAAGTAATTAAAACGATGAGTAAATAAACTTCATTTGATCGTACGAACCGATAGGCTAACACTTTCGTATAAAGAAATCGGTTAACCCTTTGGACTCGAAAGACTCTCAGTCACCATTTGATTCGATATAACGAAAGTACAAAGTGTTATATATAATATTAAGTTTTCGTATAATGCATCAATATGTGAAATATTTCTATAAAATAGCTGTTTCTTAATTTACCTATGTTTTCTCATTAGTTTGTTTCAAATAATGTCGTCTACGTCTTACTGTAAAGTGTTAAGTATTTCTAGTGAAAAGCTTCCGAGTGCAAAAGGTTAAAGGAACCGATGATCAATGTTGCGAATACACGTTTCAATATCCCATAGAAAATAACCAGAAACTTACAGCGAAAAGGATTCGCCGATTAACTCCTTGCCGTACTCTAACGAGTTTGTTAAAAATTTTGGAAACATAAATATCACGAGTTCGACTCGAGGTGACAAGACGAGTGAGATATCGGTCGCCATAATTATGGGCCGGATTGTGCCTGGTTAAATGATATAGCAAGGGGTTAAGCTAAATCAGGAACAGCCGTTGCTCCCGATTTATTTCATCGCGAGCGATTACTTTTCCGTGGACGATGACGATAGTGAATCACCGGCTAGAATCAGCCTGTCCGGTAATTCTCGGCTCGTCGATTTTCCGGCGGATCGTAATTCGCCGGTATCGTACGGGCCAGCAGCTGAAAAAGTGGACATCGTGCGTCAGAGGATTATCGGTGGCTGGTCCCCGGTAAATTATTCTTATCACTCGCCGGATACATGACTTATCACGGCCTCGATCAGCGCCGGTTTCGATCGCGAGAGCGAAACGTACACGTAGGCACGCGTGTGCGAACGGCAGAAAATAAAAATCGGTACACGACGGCGATCATTTCGAGCAAACAACAGAAAAATGACGGTGTACAGGCAACGGGGATCCACCAAGTTTCGATTCTCCTCGGCTGATCGGATGGGTTTATCGTCTTATGGGAATGAAAATGGCTTACGAGACGGTTTAGCCCCGGACGACGTCTTTCAACGGGGGCGGGAAGCCCCGCGCGCTACAGGAGAATTGAAATCCGGATCAGGAATTACCCGAGGAAGGGTTCGGAAGCTAGTTTAAATCCTCATGGAACACGGGGACCGCAAGGATCGGTCTCTGGTAAGCTATGCTAGAGTCTTGTTAGTTACAGATGTTCAATTCTGCGACGACCCGTCTTGCGGCGGGGACAAGCGTTTCGTAGGGCGCATCGGAGTCGGTTCGAAATAGGGTCACAAATACCTTGGATCGTTAGTGGAACTTGTACCCGCTGTCTACTGCTTTTTCATTGAGAACTCCGTGTCTTGTGCGATTTCGTATTAAGTGCGATGCTTCTGAGCTGGGGTAATTGGAATCTCATTGTTCTCGGGGAACCGACGTTAGGTGCGAGAGTAGCTAACTTCGGTGATCGTTCGATACGGTTTCCATGTTGTTTCGAATAAATTGGGAAAGTGAAATATAAATGTTACTCTCCTATTGTTTCTATAGTGTTACTATAGAATAAATAATGAAAGGGTGGATCTTGAGTAATCGAGAGCTAGGAATAAATATATGTATTTAACCCTTTGCACTCGAGAGGTGACTCTCATTCGCCACTTGATTCGATATAACAAAGTTAAAAGGTCTTATATAGAATATTAAGTTTTGTACCACACATCGGTACGTGAAATACTGAAATATAACAGCTTGATTCCTTAATTTACGTGTGTTTTCTCATTAGTTAAATTCAAAGAATGTCGTCCATATTTCATAGGAAAATTTTGGGTATTTCTACTAAAAAATTTTTCGAGTGCAAAGGGTTAACATTGTAGTATCTAGTATTTTTAGCTTAGATTCAGGTATTTTTAAGAAGAGTGAATGTAAGAGTGAGTGTGAATGAAGGACAGGATTTAGTCACCTCTCGAGTGCAAAGGGTTAATATAATCACCGACACTCTCGTTTCTGGTAGTTGAAATTTAGCCGGCGTTCAACTAGAAAAGTAACATTTAATAAAAGTACCAGTATACATTTCGATTCTCTATATTATTCCTATGAACAGGAGAAATTAGAAATGTTCATGAATTTGGGAAGTTTCAAGAATCGGTACTCTGATTTATCGTTGGTTAGATTTCCCAGTCACCGATCGCGAATCGAACTGAGTAATATCAAGTATTTAGAGAGTGCTGGCAGTAGTAAGGTCTTCAGTTTTCATGAGCATTAAACTTAATGAAACGAGATTTAGATATCGAATCGTCGGATATTCATGAGTACATATTGGACCGGGTCCCAGCGCTATTTGCGCCGGTTCGTCCCCTTTAATGTTCTATCACTGAAGACCCCGGAGGATCAGGCCGCCCACGAAAAAAGAAAATTGGATTCGGGATCCGTGAAAACATAGAAATGTGTCGGAACTCCGAGGCTGAACGGCGAGCGGCGTTTGATAGCTCGATATCAGAATATTGGTTACTCGGCTGGCACACCGAGATACTATCGCATTATAATTCCTCGTTTACCATACAACCGTATCCGCGGAACAATTTCTGCCCCGAGAACGTGTTATCTTCATTATTCCCTCTTCCCGTTGAACCTTTCCGTCCCGCGCCGCCGTTTTCGATCTTCCAGTATGCAAATTCGACCGAGCAACAACGGTAAAAACCGAGAGCATTTCCCGCGAATTTGTTTATTCAACGTCTGAGCGTCGATTTCCGATAGATTCCGAAATTGTACGCCTCATCGCGCCGGAGAAAAAAACGTTAACGCTATCTCGGAGTACGAAGCGCGGCGCAAGAGATTATTCCCCGCGAAGCTGAAAAAAACGAGTATTTCAGCGGCGCGTAGATCGCAGGATGTTGCATAATGCGAATTTTAATATTCATTCCCGGCAAGAGTGCGCAATAAACGGCGTAAACTAATTGCACATTCATGAAGCCCTTTTAACGGAACAAAATCCCGCGAACGATCGGAGTTATACCTTGATTTCCCAGGAATATCCTCCACTAAATATTCACCGTATCAATTACAAACCGCCTACACCCCTCTCGAAAGTCACGCTTCACTAATTCCGCGAAAAATAATTCCCGTCCGACCACGGGCGTCGCGGTGAACGCGGCCGAGCCCGTTCCGATACAAAATTCCCCGAAAAATCCTGTTTCACATCGTTCCGAAAAATACCGCCGTTCAATTCAACCGTCGATAAACCGAAACCAACGGAAACTCCCGCGACGACGGAACCACGTACACACGTAATTTCTCCAGCTTTCATCCCCCCGAAAACTTTCGAGCGAGCCGCGCCGGTGCCGCAGAGAAAATTCCGCCACGGTCAGCCGGCAATCATTAGTTCTCGTTCCCCGTTACTGATTACTGTTCGGATCTCCCTCGTTACCGTTAACGATCGCTTGGCACCGTTCGATCAGAGAGGGGAAAAAAAACGACGGATAGTCTAGCCGGGTTTGACGGGAATTAGATCGGCGAGAGCGGTGCGGCCACGGGCCGAGCAATCGTAGACGAGATTGGCGAATTCGAGCGTGGAACAGAATAATCCTATCGATTAAAACCGTGGCGGGATGTGCCGTTCGCTGGAATCTCGCGGGCCGGACACGGCGCTCCACTTAATCAATGGACACACGGATCGATGAATATATATCGTTACGAGCTGTTGCACATGGCGTCCCTGTACATCTATCCCATCCCCCGGTTTCTCCCTTCGCGGCTCCTCCCGCGTCTCACTCCGTCTCAGCTCCCATCCCGCTGTTCTTTGATACGAGCCGTCCATCAGCGGCTTGATAAGGCTGATCCTTTCAATACACTTCTGTTAACAATTGTCCGCCGCGTAGCCCCACGGAATGGAGTATATATCGGCGACAGCCGCCGCGCCGGCTGGATTATATCGCCCCAGCGAATCGATAGTCCGAGTTTCCAGGTGAATTCGCCGGGCCCGCTGGATCACGGCCGAGGTAACGCGATTATTTCGGCCGTATCCGGCCCAGCTACATGCACGCCAAGAAATTCACGAGCTTTCGAACGGCACCGGCTACGGCCTCCGCAACCCGACGGCCCTTTATCGCCGGCTCGAACACCGGGATAACTTTAATCTCTTTCCGACGAACGGTAATGGCCATTATGGAAGTGTCCCCGTATTTCTTAGCTGCCGGAGTTCGGATGTCGCCCTCGATTTCGGTTATTGATCAGTAACGCTAATGTATCTGCAGAAGGTTGGTAGGATGTTTGTGTTTTCATGATTCTTGCAGATAATCGAGTATAAGGAACTTAACCCTCTATGCTGTGCAAAATTAATAAATATCTACATACGAATACGGATTAACAACGTATTCAATAGTTT